TAAATTCTGGGACCCTACAAGTAGAATTAAGAAATGCGTTTCAGACTCTCGTTAGGCAGCTACATTTCTTATCAAGGCCTCTCGATTAAGAAACTTCCCAGACCCTGGAGGCTGCATGTAGTTTTCTTAACATAAAGCTCGCCCGTACACCCTAAACCCTAAACCCTAAGACCCTACCAAAGCCTTTAAAACAACCTCAACAATTACGGCCACGCCGCTGCGCGCGGTGATTGTAGTGCCACGCCAAGCTGACGAAGCCTCCTCACCTGCCGGGGATATGCGGAGCCCTTTAAAGGAGTATATCTATGTATATAGATATATGTATATCTATAGTTTAGGGTTTAAGGTTTAGAAGATTTTTGTAAATGAATCGTTTGGGGTTTAGGGATCAGGGTTCCGGGCACAGTTCGCTGGACGCAAACCGCGGTTTAGGATGAGGTCAGATCAGCTTGCTAGAGCTTGCCCACCCTAGAACCGGAACCCTGAATCCAAATTCTATACCCCTATCCCCAAAGGCTGAAACTCTGAAGCCCAAAACCTAAACTCTAAGCCCCAAACCCTAACCCAAAATTATATGCATATGTGTATGTATATAGATAGATAGATAGATAGATTGATAGATAGATAGATAGATACATGTAGTCATATGTATTTGGTTGTTCACTTCAAGACTTATACCTACACGTCACTCATGCTAGAACATGATATACACGCGGTTTAGGTTCAGGTGTAGGGTTTTGGGGTCCAGAAAAATACTTGGAAGTTCATGGGACTCAGTAAGTATACCTACAACCTCCATGAGCCAGATAATAATGCCAATATATGCCAATTATCCCCAGTATTGTCCTGCTTACTACGTCCCCCTGTGCCTAAAAACTAAACATCCCTAAACCCTAAACCCACATTCAGCTGCCTTCGCCGGTCCAGTCCTCATTCTGCGGCTCACCTGCTAGCTGCAGTTCAGGATTGTGGGCTCGGATTTGGGGCGTAAGGTCTAGTATTTTAGTTGGATTTAGGGTTAGGGGTTTAGGGGTTTAGGGGTTTAGGGGTTTTGGGTTTAAGGGGTAGAAACCCATCCAGAGACCCTAAACATTCCAAGGTTTTCGAAGCCTAGGCATGGCAGTATGCTCAGAAAAAGAAATCTGGAAAACCAGGAAATCACAAAAAATAGCGGTACGTTGGAGTACTCCTCAACCGTGTACTATGGCTGGACAAGTTTGGCGTCACTTGCGGTCCCCGAAATGCTGAATCTCTTGAGCTATCGAGCCGGTAGGGTCATGCAAGAGTTCTCAACATACCATACACAAGGTCTCTCTGTTTCGTACAAGGCTCCCACCTCTGCTGCGCATGGACTCCAAAGCTCTCAAACCGGTAAAGTGCAAAAGCGCTTCTAGCGGCGGTATATACGGAAATCAACTAGGCAAAGCTAGTTTGCTTTCAGAAGCCCTAGTACAGCCCATCAATACATATATGAGCTATAAACTAAACTCCTGGTATCCTTCTTAGTATCCCCTATAGTAGTCCCCTACATATTCGCTATATAACCCCCGATAAGAAGTTTAGACTATAGTACATATATATATATATGGAATCTAGAACCGCAATGTTGGTAATCCTTTGTCTCCTATATTGCTGCGAAATCCCAAGCCCTAAGCCCCAAAGCCAAAACTTACGGGGGGTTAGTAGGGAATATGGGAATATATTATATAGGGGTTATAAAGGGATTATATGCCCTTATTCCCTACCAACAACCCTTAAGTAAACCACTTGCAGGGCCACCTTCGCGCAAAGTGCAGATCACGCCCGCCATCGCGTTGCCGGACTGCGTGCTGTCCTACAGGTTTTACGCCTATGCAGGGATTCTAGAAGGCACGTGTAGGGTTTTTTAGGATACGTAGAAATACATGGAGTTGTCAAAATTATGGTTCCTTTTTGGGTAAATATGTGGGGCCGCATCATAACAGGGATCCAACAAACGGACCAGAATTCCGACAACCGCCAATATAGGGGTTGGAGTACAATGGACACCCCGCACCCAAGGTTTTGGGGCTAGGCAAGGTTTACAGAATTTCCGCAAACCACCGTGGATTGCAGCTTGATTCCTTTTTCGGGCTAGCAAGGCTCTGCTTCCCAGAGAGCCGAATAGAGGCTAACTAAGGAATATGCCTTAAGTTCTACTAGGACCCTTAATATGAACCCTAATTAAACCCTAAACCCTTATCGATTTAAGGTATGTTCCTTAGTTAAGGGGCACTGGGCTCCGTGGGTAGGGAAGCCTACGCACTTTCGAGCCAGCTTAGGATGCTGTTCCCAAACCAGGCGTTAGGGTTTAGGGTGTGGGGTTTGGGGTTTAGGGTCTAGGGGTCCCGTAGGGCGGTCCACAAACCCCGAACCCTGAACACAGACATGCTCACCTCCCTGAATGGAGAGCTACGAGGCTCAGAGTTTGGATGGAAATTTACCGAATCAAACAGCTTAGCGTTTATGGTTTAGGGTTTTTAGGGTGTGGGGTTCTTGGGTTTTTTGGGGTTCTTGGGGTTCTTACGGTTCTTAAGGTTCAGAAGTCATGGAGTCTCGTCCGGAATCCTCTTTCTTCGACATGTCATCGGCTATAGGTCCTTCTGCAGGTCTTGGGATATCCCGCAGCCAGAAGCCTCCACGCACTCCCTAAAAAACACTCTTCTTTAATTAAGACCTACATGCTGTTGGATAAGCGACAGGGGACCTCAGACGGCAAGGACGGCTTTGAAGATGGGTTCCACCAAGGCCACTGAACCTCAACCCTGAACTCTGAACCTTAAACCCTCATCCCAAGATGAAGACTTCCCGAAATGCAGGCACCCTTGCAACTGTGGCAAACTGCCGAGGTAGGGCGTACACTGAGGTTTACAGCAAGGGGCAAAATAAGGGCGTGGTGCCTAGCGGGTGTGGTGAGGGAGCTCATAATGAAAGGCACGTCCTTGGCATCTGCACTATCCTTGCCGACCATGCAAATGTAGATGCCTTTGATGTGGTGCCTGTCTATGTCGATACCTCGGCATGTGTTGCTCTACATCCGAAGCCCTAAGCCCCAAACCCTGAACCCCAAAGCCCCTAAACCCAAGTCCCTACAAAGACCTCATTTTGGGGTATAGGTCGTCCGGCTTCGAGCTAGGGTTCAGGTCTATCTATAATGGCCAGCCTCGGGCATAATGTTTCTATGAAGGTGAATTACAACGAGATAGCAGTTACAGCTTAGGAATAAGGGTTTACGGTCGAGGGATGGGCTTAGGGTTTAGGATATTACCCGAATACTGGATAAGCAAGTGGAAGAGAACATGGATAACAAAATGAAAGCTGGGTTTACATTATACAGGGATGTAAGGGGATTGTAGCCTATTTGGAAGGTTAGGGAGACTTAGCAAGTAGGTCAATAATCGGATAGTTGGGTGATCATACAGCTGAGGGGTCACAAGTACGTTACGTATATATACCTGCGAAGTACCACTGACCATCCACATAAATCCTGCATGACCCTAAGCACACTCAACCTTGAGAATTACGGTACTGGGGCATGCCAAGGTTATGCAGGGCTTTTAGAACCCTAAACCCTGAACCTTATCAACAATATTACGGGTATCCAATGGTCTGGGTGGATATCCGTTGGGCTACACGTACCTGAGAGATAAATGAAAGGATACAACGGCATTTGTCTAACCCGTAGTCTCCCTCCTTCACTTGCAAATGCCATGAAGTTGCGAGTATGTACTACTTGGAGGGTCAGGGGGACTTGGTAATTATGTTAATAATTTGGATAACTAGGGTTACTATATGGGTTAAAAGGATTATGAACCTACTTACTAAGTCCCCCTGACCCTCCAAGTAGATACGGCTGTGCCCTCCAAGCCTTAATTGGATCCTGTGTGGGTCGCGAGTCGCCCCCTCCACTACTGACATGGAAATTCATGTTCGTAATAGAAAAGGACCCCTACTATAAGGCCCTCATAATGAGGTTACGGAAATCCTCACATGCTTCCCGGGGGTTTTAGTACATGGGCTAGTGCAGGAGTTCATCCATCAGCGGTGTCCTGCATTAAACCCTACACCCTGCACCCTGAACCTTGGGTACTGCCCCACTCTGTCACAGTCTATGGTCCCCCTTGAGTAGATAGAAGATGGGGTATATGGGGATCGTATTATGCTATACCCAAAAAGCCACATTCTATCTAAAGGGGGACTATATACCAGGGGTCACATTAAGGGCTCCATACATATTTTATAAACATTATCCAGCTGTTACAGAGTGCAGGCGGCGCCCAACCTAAACCGTGTAGCAGACTCGTAGGTCCATCTCATTGTCAACCATGAAACTCCTAGGCCCCCTTAATGACCCCCTGTATAATACTCTCCTGCAGTTTAGGTTTTACGTTTTAGGGTTTAGGGTTTGGGGTTTAGGGCCCAGGGTCCACTATATATCCCCCTTGAAGGAGTTTAGACTATAGCTCAGGTGATGAGGCCAAACAGGAACCCACTACAGGGACCCATATACCCTAAACCCTTTATCCCTGAAACCGCACCCTAAACCCTGAAACCCTAGGTAAAGCTCTAGACCCTAGACCTAAACCTTTGAAAACGGCCCCGGCATGTCTAGGGAGAGCTGCGGGGGACTCATGTCGAAGGTTTCAAAAGGTGTGATGACAGTAGGTGGGCTAAAGGATCCCTAGGTTAAGGGTTTAGGGATTAGTGTTTAGGGTTGAAGGAGTGTGGGGAGTAGTGTTTATGATTTAGGGCTTCGGGTGGATGCCATTTTCTTGGAGCTTATTTCCAAGATTGGACCTTAACTTACTTTACCTCATCCTTCGAGCCATCTTATCAGAAGATAGGATATTCCAAGCGGTAGGCAAGGCCATTAGCCTCACTCCGACATACAGAATGCATACTCCACAGACATTCCATAGCCCACCATGAAAATCGGAAAAAAGGTGGCCTCGACCAGAAACGAGCTAGTTGCTCTGTGGTTTTAAGAACATCAAAACTGAGGGCATCAAGCCAACAATCATGCTAAAACCCTAAAACCTAAACCCTGAAAGCTTTCCACGAAGCCATGACCTGGACATCCTCCCCGAAACACCAACACTCATAAGGCAGCGGTTTAGGGTTTAGGGTTTCGGGTCTAACCCCCAGAGACCTCGTAAGCGATCGTGGGCGTTCCTTGCTATTCCAGGTGAGGAAAACCCAAGTCTTTGAAGCAAGTGGTATCCTTCAGTTGAAACCAAGTACTATCCTACTCGCTCATATGACTCTTACATTGCTTTTATGGCTTACAATCATCACTAGGTCTCTCGTAAAACCGCTAAAGCCTACACCCTAAACCCTAAAACCCCTCAACCCTACAACCATAAACCCTCATGTCAAACCAAAACCCTCTAGAACCTAAAACCCAAACCCCCTACACCCTAAACCCTACAACCCTGAACCGTCAAACCCAAAACCCATCAAACCTAAAACCTAAACTCCGAAACCCTGAACCCTAACCCTTTCAACCTAAACCCTAAAACCTTAAACCCTAAAACCTTAAACCCCTAAACCTGAAACCCTAACCTGAAACCCTAAACCCCAAAAACATAAGCCGGGTTGCCATTGCGCAGAATCTGGATCATGTGGGCCTTATTCGCCGCAACAATCCAGGGACGTGCCAACAAGCCTCGTTTAAGGGTTAAGGGTGTAGGGTTAAGGGTTTAGGGTTTAGGGTGTAGGGCTTAGGGCTAAGGATTTAGGTTTAAGGGTTAAGGGTTTAAGGGTTTAGGGTTGAGGGTTTCGGGTTTGGGTTTAGGGTTCTAGTGTTTAGTGTTTTAGGGTTTTAGGGTTTAGGGCTTAGAGGTTTAGGGGTTTAGGGGTTTAGGGTTTTAGGGTACTGCTGCGCCAGGGACCAAATGAGCTAGAGTCTAAACCCTTACAAGGTAGGGATTATATACAGGACTAGTAAAAGGGCTTTTGGAGAGGGATATTCGGAGTTTAGACTATGGCTGGAATAGATTCAGGGCTTCAGGGTATGGGTTGAGATCTCAGGGTTTAGGGTTTGGGATTTGGGGTTTTATTGGCTGAGGGCTTGGGTTTAGGGCTTATACAAGTTTTGTAGGGCTTGAGGGTTCAGGAGGGAGCTGTTTGAGTTTTCTGGTTTTGCTCTTCTCTGTATCTGGGCTGAGGGTTTGGGTTTTGTTGGTAATCATTGACGCTTAGCCCAAACCATACATACATATCCCTGAACACCCCTCATAACTTCCGTGGAATGACTGTCAAGCCTCACAGAAGGACTATCATCTGTTCTGGCTTCTACACTCCACTCTGAACCCTGAACCATGAATCCGTTAGCTTTGCAGCACCCTAAACCCTAAACCTTAAACCCTGAATTTAGGGTGTAGGGTTCAGGGGCCCTAAAATCCGACATCCCTTCACTCCCTTAAGGCCCTCAAACCATGATCCATGTGAATCCCTCTGGCTCCTTCAATCCCTCAAGCCTAGGGTTTAGGGTTTAGGGATTGCAAAAACGCTTTAGCCCTCAAATCCGTACCACGAAATTCTAAACTGCTAAAACCCTATGATGTCACAAACTTCAAGAACTCAAAGATATCACATACATTACACCGCCCCTAGAAACTGCTATAGCCGCTGTAGCATCCGAATTTCCATTGCCTTTTCAATGTGAGTCTCTACGACTCAAAGTACTTCAGTCTCTACTACAAACCCTCAACCCTAAACCCTAAACCCTCAACCCTGAATCCTCCACATCCCTGCAAAACCTTTAAAAGTTGACCGCAGGTCAGCCATAAAGTTCCCTATAACCTACCTGAAAGAACCACTATTTCAGCCCCTACCCTAAACGCCTAAACCTAAACTCTAAACCCTAAACTCTAATCCCTAAACCCAAATCCCTAAACCCTAAACCCTGAACTCTAAACCCCCATCCCTAATCCCTAAACCCTAAACCCTAATCTCTAAACCCCAATCCCTAAACCCTAAACCCTCAACCCTAGTCCCTAAACCCCAAACCCTAAACCCTAATCTCTAAACCCCAATCCCTAATCCCTAAACCCTAAACCCTAATCCCTAAACCCTCAACCCTAGTCCCTAAACCCTAATCTCTAAACCCCAATCCCTAATCTCTAATCCCTAAACCCTCATCCCTAATCCCTAAACCCTAAACCCTAATCTCTAAACCCCAATCCCTAATCTCTAAACCCCAATCCCTAATCTCTAAACCCTAAACCCTAATCCCTAAACCCTCCTCCCTGAACCCTAAACCCTAATCTCTAAACCCCAACCCCTAAACCCTAATCCCTAAACCCTCATCCCTAAACCCTAAACCCTAAACCCTAATCCCTAAACCCCAATCCCTAATCCCTAATCCCTAAACCCTAAACCCTAAACCTTTGACTCCATGTCATCCCTAGGCCTACACCCCAAAGCCCCTAAACCCTAAACCTTTACATCTGAACCCTAAGTTTAGGGTTTAGGGCTTTAGGGTTTAGGGTTTAGGGTTTTTAGGGCTTAGGGCTTTAGGGTTTAAGGTTTAGTTAGTTACGCCCAAACTAACCCCTACACCCTAAAACCCTAGCCCTCTAAACTCTGAACTCCTACACCTGTAAACGCTACACCCACATTCTCCCACCACTTTCTACAAGAATCGTAGCAGTCGCCCCTTACACTACTACGTGCAGGGAAGCTTTCATATTCTAGAGACGGAAGCTACAAAACCCTAGACCCTAAATCCTAAACCCCAAACCCTGAACCCTCGCCCCTGAACCCTAAATCCTAAGTCCTCAACCCTAAACCTTCGCCGCTAAACCCTACACCCTACACCCTTAACCCTAAACCTTTGGAGCTGAGGGCACTACGGTCAGCCTGGACGGCCGCGCAGGAATCACACCAGCCTTGGATTGAAGGGGGTTCCTGAGTTTAGGGTTTAGGCTTTAGAGTTTAGGGGTTAGGGTTCAGGAGTTCAGGGTTTAGGGTTTGGGGTTTGGGGTTTAGGGTTTAGGGTTCAGGGAGTTCAGGGTTTGGGGTTCAGGGTTTGGGGTTCAGGGTTTGGGGTTTGGGGTTTGGGGTGTAGGGTTTAGGGTTTAGGGTTCAGGGCTCAGGGAGTTCAGGGTTTAGGGTGTAGGCTAGGTTGGTGGCAAGGAAGTCTTGAGTTAAAGACATTTTAGGGCAGGGGCCTGACTAGGATTTCCTTCAAGGGAGTTACAGGCTATATAGGGATAAGAGGGTGCCTGTAAGGGGGTCACAAGGATACCTAGGGCTGGCATAGGGTCGCTGTACCAGCCTTGGGTTGACTCAGTTGCTGTTCTGAGGTGTCCTGAACGAAGGCTTGAGATCCATGGATTTAGGGTTAGGGGTGCAGGATTTTGGGGTTTGGGGTTTGGGGTGCAGGGTTTAGAGGTTTAGGGCATAGGGGCCTAGAATTTGGAGTTGGGTCGATTTTTACCGTAATGTGGATAGGGTGTAGGCTTGGGGATTACAAAGTGGAGAACCACATGCAAAATCAGAGTGGGGGTTGCGTAAGGTGTTCAGGAACTCAACTTGCTTGCTCTCTGTGAAGCGATCAGACCATTCTATATACAAGCCTTTGGTTAATGCGTTGCGGATTAGGTTTGGAGTTCAGGGCTTAGAATGTCTCAAAATCTTTCCCCAGCGTAAAAAACGACACGGCATTCAGTGTCTAAAAGATAAGCTCAGGGCGTTGACCTTCGGCAGGTTCTTCGACTCCTTGTTCAAAATCAAAGGCCCATTGTATTGTATAGGTCCCCTTCACATGCTGGCCCTCACATTGCCAGCACCCACAACCCCCAATATTTAGGAAATTGCTTCTCCTCCGAGCATCCCTGAACCCTAAACCCTAAGTAGGAGCGTAAACACACTCCACGGATAAGCCCGGGTTTAGGGTTTGGGTTTATCCCGCTGCTCCCCCTAACCCCAAGCCCAAAACCCTGAACCCTAAACCTACACCCCAAGAATGCTCAGAGCAATTTCAACGACAGCCGAGCGACCCAATCCGTGTGACTTGTGGTAATTGAGACATGGACTCTACCATGTGCAGCTTGAGCCAAGACGTAGGCATCCCATAATTAGCTGGTTCCTCTTTGAGGCATTGGGTTTGGACCCTAATTAACTGGTTCCTCTTCGGGGCATCGGGTTTGTTTGGAAGCCCTAGGCCCTAAACCCTCGAAAACCCTCTGGAACCTCAGTTTCCATTTTGTTGTCCATTTCCCATTTTGCTTCTGCATTGAATCCAATCTCACGCCACAAGGCCGTGACCCATTATAGCACATTCGAGTCTATTATGGTAAATTATAGTATGTTATGATATCTTATGGTATATTATAATATATCATGGTAAATTATAGTATATTATACTATGTCAAATTGAAAATATATTGTGGTCTATTATGTGAAATATAATATGTCATAGTCTATTATAGTAAATTATGATGTATTGTAATATCTTATTCTTTACTACAGCCTGTTATGGTATATTATCATATAATAGTAAGTCATAACATATTATAGTCTATTATGTAAATTGTAGAGTATTATAGCCTATTATGGTGTATTATATATTATGGTCAAACATGGGCATCTCCGTTGTAAGTGCCGGGCTAAAGGTTTAAGACTTTGCAGAAAAGTGCCCATACTATTGGGCATAGAAGCATGCATACGAAGCATACGGGGCATTGTAGGCCCTTCTGGGATTACAGAAGTAAGGGATTACAATAGTCCCTCCCCAAAGGTACCCCCCCTAGATTTGCAACCCGATTTGCAACCCGATTAAGCCTTATTAAGCCCTATATAGTCCTTGTAATCCCTTAAGAAAGTCTCTGTGAATCAAATCCAGCCTCTCCAGAAGTGAAATTTCCTCTTCTCATGCGGGGAAAAAACTGGGTTTTACGCTCTAGGATTTACCTGAACCCCAATAGTATGTAAAATAATAGCCCTAAACCCCTAATAATAGCGATTAAAGGCAATTATTTTACATACTTTTGGGGTTCAGGTAAGGATGATTTGAAGACTCTGGCTCATCCCAAAAAGCCAGAAACCAGGTAGGTATATTCGAAACACCAGCCTTTTACTTTTAGGGGGGACGTTGGGATATTACATGGCCATAACCTGGGCTTTCCCCTACCTAGAACTCCAAAAGAACCTAGGTAAACCCAAACCCTAAATCCTAAATTCTACTTTTTAGGGTTAAGGGTTTAGGTCTAGGGTTAGACTTCCTAGGTCCTGAATCCCACTTTGCTTGGCATTCGCGCGTAACTGAAGGTCCTGCGGCCCGGTTCTTCGAATCCGGGCGGTGTGACATCAGATGGGCAAGGTCTCAAAAATCTGCTTCATTCAGGATATAGGGCTTCCGATTTAGGATTTGGAGTTTAGGAATGCGGGCTTAACGTCCCCCTTAAGTAGATAGAATATGCCTTTGGGTATAGTATAATAAGATCCCCATATACCCCATATTCTACCTACTTAAGGGAGACTATAGACCTGAGGGTTTGGGGTAGGGCTGGAGGGTTGAGGTTCAGGATTTCAAGGGTCGTCAGACCTATGGGTTTTAAGAACCTTGAGGGGTTTAGGGTTTAGGGCTCAGGGTTTAGGGTTCAGGGTTCAGAGTTTATGTTTTAGGGTTCGGGGTTTAGGCTTTCGGGTGCCAAAGAACCTGAACCTTCACTTCCCAACCCTGAAGCCCACATAGCATATACCCTACGCCCTCCACCTAAATCCGGTAGACCCTACACCCTAAACTCTAAATCCTGAAGACCCTAAGCCTGATAACCTAACCCCTGAACCCTAGAATGGGAGAGCCCTATTCGATTTCTAGAAAGGACCCCCGTAATCTCCCTTAGAATCTGTTGTGGTTGCTAGGGTCCCGCAATTCGAGAAACTCCTTGGGTTTAGGGTTTAAGTTTAGGCCTTAATACTTAATACTTAAGACTTACCCATATGAATATCCATATGATTGAAGTACCCTTTACCATCATTATACAAGGCATCTCCGACGGTGATGCTGGTAATACTTCATGCTTCTACAGAAGGGCTCAGCGGTAACACCGGCTAGCTGGATTTTTTAATGAACTATACTTTAGGGGGTAGCTCCTATATACTAAACTGTATTCGGGATTACTAGTAGGGTTTAGGGTATAAAGGTTAGCTTTAAATCCAGGAATCCCAGTGTAAGGTTTACAGGGTTTAGGCCTTGAGGCTGTAGAGCTTCAGATTTAGGAGGTTGGGGATTGAAGTTTAGGGTGGCTTAGGATTTGAAGGTGGGGCCCTATTCAGGGTGAGTTTGAGGGGTTAGGGTTGAGTGGTTTGCCTCTGGGGTTTGCGGCCCCGGGTCCCGTGCGCAACTTTGAGGGCACGCACTTAGAACTTAGAACCTTAAATCGTATCAATGCTTTTGGGTTTAGGGTTTAGTGTTTATCTTTAACCCTATATGGTGATTGTAGGAGTACTACTCCCTACAATGGGGAATCGCCTGAAAAAGGACATGGAAGATGAAACGGGAACGGGAATCATATGGGGTTCATAATAGTTGCAGCATGTACGGGCCTTGACAATACTTGGCAACCCAGACCCCTGATTAATGCACACCCTCCCCGTAATAGGGATCATAATAAAGATCTTAATATTTAGGCTCTTCAAGGGAGGGAGTTTGTTGATCAGGGACCCACATTTTCAATGGTACCTCCCATTTTGAGACTCCCCCAAGTGCATGCTTGGCAGGGTCGAACTGTCGCACGGGAGCAGTGCTGTCACTTGGACCCAGCTTAGCTTCTTGAAAAACCTCTCGATAATGGAAAACCAATGAAGTGGAAACAGTGATTATCTTGGGTTGTATCCGGGTTAATCCCTCTTAAGTAGATAGAATATGGCTTTGGGTATATTATAATAAGATCCCCATATACCCCATACTCTATCTACTTAAGGGGGACTATATATTGACATCTGCAGGGGGGCCCAAACTCTTGCCGCTGAGGGAACCCGCCGAATAGGAACAGTACGACCCCGTGAGCATCGCGCGAATAGCGAACTGACTGCTGGGTGACACACAGCAGATGTGCAGGATAGTAAACCCGAAAGTCCTAAACCCTAAAGCCCTCACCCTAAAGCCCTAAACCCTAGAGCCCTAAAGCCCTAAACCCTAAAGTCCTAAACCCTAAAGCCGCAAAGAGGTCTACAATGATAAAGGAATTTTGGTTACCCCCAACATTCAAGTTGCCGTAGGACCCCCTTATCGTCATGTGAGAGTTTAAGGTTTACGTTTAGGGCTTAATTATAAGGGTTGGAAGTACCAAACACTTCTTGTCATTTTTGCGAAGTCTGGAACTGGGTAGCTGAACCCAAACCCTCAGTAGTCCCTGCAGATGTTTTGGCTGCACAGCTGAACCTGGGGGAGGCCAGGTCAGGTGCCTCCCCAAGTCACAAAACCCCTGTGCCATTGGGCACCACCACACACCGGGCACACAAGCCCGATTCTAACCATGCATCGGAGCAAATCCATCATCCTGAAGATGTCGAAGCCACATTCCCACGAGCTGATCCACCATGACGAGGAACTCGAAGAAGGGTGGGCGGGAGGGCAAAATTGACTCAACAGCTGTCACACTGATCACCTGTGAAACACACAACTGCCACAACAGGACCTGTCGAGGCAAGTACACAAAGGAACTACGGGCAGGGGACAGGCGAGGGTTACGCTTGTGCCTTGGCCTAGCCCACCAAACCCCAAGGCAAACTACACGTATGATTACATTCGTCTTGAAATATATATATATATACCATACCCTCAGAGAGGATGTCATCGTAGCCTAAAGGTGTAGACTCCCTGATAGAATACTATTCAGTTGAGGTCTACTGATTGCGGGACCCATTCTGCATGCTCTGC